CCCCCCGCCCAGCTCCGACGGAACCCGACGGAAACCCTCCCAACCAGGATTGTCGCTCCAATTTTCTCTTTAAAAATCAGAGAAATAACCATCAAAATTGGTGTGACACCTAGACTTTTAGTTTTGGTGCACCAGTATACTTCAGGCTTCTGTGATGATGAATAACAGTACTATCGATAGACTGGACACCAGGCTATTTTTCTGACACGTGGTGTCGGAAAGGAAAGCAGGCTGCTACACTTAATGCTGAGGTCACAATTACCACACGGGGCCCGGCCGGGCAGCTTTTTCGAACGAAAAATACGATATAAAAGACAACAAAACACAGAAAAGTTTCAAATCACAATCATAAGCACTATTTCTGTATATTCTTGATTTGAATTGTTAATTTTTCGTTCATACAAACATCCCGGTCGGGCCCCGGTTTGGAAATGTGACCTAAGCACAATTCAAGAAAGGGGCCCGCTCGGCGCGTGTTCGGCGTGTTTTTTGGCACTACCGAACGGGACCTGGACGGAGACCGGCGGGCTTCCCGACGGCTGCCGGCCTATTTTTGGCCCCGCGCGGTCGCCGAATCGATTTTAACTCAGAGTTAAAAACACTTCGGGCCCCGTTCGGCGAAATACGCCGAAGCGACGCCGTAACCTCACTGCCCGGGACCCGTCGGGCGGCCGAACAGGCACCTGCCTAAGATTATGACGTCACATGTGCTGATCAGTGCATCAGATGGTCAGGAAAAGGGGGTGATAGGGAGCATATATAAACTCCTGCCTCAGACTACGTCGCACAGTTCACCACGTGTGTGTTACATCGCGTACTTGTGGGTGTTACACCTTGTATTTGTGTGTCAGAATGTCGAAGGGCAAGGGAAAACAGCCGGCACGGCTCTCTTGCCAACTTCATAAAACAGATCATAACAGGAATAGAATGTGTCTGACATTATCTCTTGTTACATCATATGCCTTCGTAATAAAATGGAATCAGAAGTTATTGGCATTTATTTTCAGTCCAAATTTCAACAGAAGTAACGATATTCAGTGGTTTTATTGCTCAATAGCAAGGAGCTGCCACGGCACACTTCCTGCGTCACTGCTGAAGTACTTCCTGCGTCACTGTTGAAGTACTTTCGAAAGTAGGCCCTCGGTTACTTTTGCGACGCACCAGTTCTGCCTGCCTCTCTTCTTCAGCTACCAATGCCAGAAGACCTACATGTAGGTTGTCACCAATCTCAATCTCAGACGGGCTTGTAAGTTGTTTGCAGGTTGCACTGAACGCTGCATCGCCAACTTCAGTCTACTCTTTACTTGACGTGTACTCTTTACTTGAAGTGAACGGTAGCAGGCAGTGCAGCGCTTATATATGTACCTGCTCAAAAACACGAGAGGAGCCCGTCGGGATCCCGCCAGGAACCCGCCAGGGACCTGACAGCTGCCCGGCCGAACTGTAAGAGCCGGTCGGCACGCTACCACACGCCGCACGGGTCAAGACGGGCGACTGACCGGGCACCGGACGGGTCCCTGACAGAAACCGGCCGCAAAAGTTTATGAATATTAATGAGAGCCGCCGGCCGGAGCACAAGCAGGCCCCGACAGGGAGCCGTAAAGGAACATTTAATTGTGACCCTGACAGTACGGCGCACGCTCGGCGTCATGACGCCGGCCGGCGTCTACGCCGAGGACATGCCGAACGGGCGCCGTTTCAAATGTGACCTAAGCATAAGATACCAAATGAGGCAAATCGGTACCTCTCAGAAAATATCCCGAGTAAGCTATGGGGTCTTGTTCTGTTGTCAACATCATGTTCAGGAGAGAGATCGCCACATCGAACACCGCAGGGTTCCAGGTCGCGTCGCCAAAGTCCAGCAGACCACAAATCTCGTACCTTCCTTCTGCAGAGTTTGTCGTCTTCTCCCGCACAAGGATGTTCTCACTTCTGAAATCTGCATGGATCGGTCCTAAGAGGAAAACACAACAACATCTTTCAAGGGTGGAAGGACACATTTTGACCTACTATATGTTCTCTTTCTGACGGTGCTTTAAAACTGCCCCTACTCAATTTAGGATCCCCTTTTTGCTCTTCTACTATTAATTTTAAGGCCACACCGCCTTAATTTTATGGATGACATCCGCGCGCGCATTGATTTTCGTCTGTTGTAAAAAAAAAGATCACGTCCTTTAGAGGCTCTGACCTGGATAGTCCATGGTAGCGACAATACGGAGCCGGTGGTAACTCTGGAGTATGGCATCCAGGCTGCCGAAGCTCCACGACTCAAGAACTCAGTACTTAGGTAGTGTCGATTCATAAATCCGCAAAAAGCCAGCATGTGCCGGCTTGTCGTATATGTGCTATGTTCTGCCGCAGTTCCGCCGCAAATTCACAATACGTATTTGTGTTTAGATTGCGGTACTAATATAGGTTCGTTGTAATTTGAGTGCGTCTTTGTCTGTCAGTACTTCTTTATTTATGATTTAATACAAAAAGAAACACCAGATTGACATTTAGTTTTTCTTCTCAAATTTTGTATACATTTAATTTATTTCTTCATAAAATATTTTTTACTTCTTCATAAAAAATGATTAATTGAATGAACTTGAAACTTATTATTATTATATTAACTAAGATTATATCAATTAAGATTAACTAAATTATATTAATTAAGATTAACACAAGCTTGGGAGCAAATACAGCATATTTCAGTCCATCTCCATCCCAGTAGTTTTTGTCCGTTGAGTGCCCAACCGAATTTCAGATCATTTGGTTGTAATACCAGGGCTCAGGATCCAAAAATCCATTTTTTTTTTCGAAAAAGGCCCAAAAAATCCTTCATAATTTTTTTTCAAAGGCATGTATCAAAAAATGAAAAAAAAAAACAACAAACGCCGGGGGGGTTTGGCCCACTCTACCTCCATGCTAAATTTCAAGTCATTTGGTTAACAAATGACAGAGTTGAATCAATTTGAAGAAATGGCAGGAGAAGGAGAAGAAGAAACATGGTATGGACTGAAATATAAATATGATAAAACTCAAGACAAGATGACCTTGTGGTAGGTCCTCCATTCGGGCCAGCACTGTCTCAGAGAAAAGGTCGAGCGCCTTGTTGACCACATCCCTGTCCTCCGCTCTGGGCAGAACGTGTAGATACTGCCTGATCGCGCAGACATTTCTCAAGTTCCATTTGAAATTCGGTCGTTGCAAACCAGGATGATGGAAGTCCTAAACGTAGTTGTATGTATGAAATCTGAATGAACTACAAGAATTTCTCCAAAAGATTTATTAATTTCGGGATACCCTTCGTTAAAGGCATCCAATGTAATTTTAGGGCGGCAAAACAATGAGATAGATATTAGATGAGACAATAGATGAGAAAATTGAAAAAAAAATTGATGACTAGAAAATTGACTGAAAATTCTGTTTTGCCGCCTTGAAATTGCATTGTATGCCTTTGAGTAACGCAATGTAGTAAATGCTAACATGTGCCAACACAGTGCTCAAAATGGGAAATTAATTAAATACATTAAAGAATGCTTTAAAACATTTAAATGAAATCTTAAAGACTAAATGTTTATTGTTGCTGCTGACATATATTCTGTACGTAGTTTGCCGCATACATATATACGTAACAAGACGTTACATGTATTTAGC